TCCAGCTCTGAGCTGGATAGTACTGATTACAATATTGCTATTGTGCAGTCTACATCTAGATATAGTAGATATAGATATAAATCCTAGTAGTGAAAAACAGAAGTAGTACCAGAAAAAGTAATACTAGCAGTTGTTGTACTTTCAGTACTAGATCTACTACTGGTAAATACTACTACTTGCTAGCTGTAGTTCTAGCTGTAGTTCTAGCTGTAATGCTAGCTGTAGTGCTAGCTGTAGTGCTAGCTGTAGTGCTACTAGCTGATGCTCGTTTGTACGAAAGCCCAATTTCATCACTCCGTTTTTTGTTAGCATTTTTATCGTGATTTCTGACCATGGTTCGAACGATCATCATTGGTGCTTCATTTGTTATTTGTTACATCGCACGCCACCACCAGCAATGAGTTATATATGCTGGCATCTCATTCCCGTAACTTTATTGTTTTACGATGTTTCTTATAGTTCAAAACCCTACTGGCTCTACGACTAAAAAGATTGCTCCGGAAAGTTTCTGGAAATTCCACCCCCCCCAGACCCCCCCTCCGCTTTGCGAACCAATTACAGTCAAAACTGTTTTAGTCTTTTTTTTTATGTTTCGACTTCCATGATTCGATTCCAATTAAAACTTGTGAAAGCTTAAAAAGGAACTACAGTATGCATAAATCCAGGCTGCCATTTTTGAAATAAGCCCAAGATTCCGGTGTTTAAAGGACCCCATGCCGAAGATGCACTGTGTTCTCCATTCAAAATTCAACGAAGAAATTGAAATTTTTACTTATTGCTCTCTGGCTGAGCTCTTGAAAAAGCGAATCAAATAAATAAGCCCAAGAGCACTTAAAGTGCTGTTTGTGAAAGAAGTGATGAAGTAACGTACCCTATCTCAAAGNGAAAAAGCGAATCAAATAAATAAGCCCAAGAGCACTTAAAGTGCTGTTTGTGAAAGAAGTGATGAAGTAACGTACCGGATCTCGAAGACAAGGAGCTCTGGAAAAAGCGAATCAAATAAATAAGCCCAAGAGCACTTAAAGTGCTGTTTGTGAAAGAAGTGATGAAGTAACGTACCGTATCTCGAAGACAAGGAGGACTTACGAAACAAGCTTAATACAGTACTCGTATGCGGGTCTGAATACATGTTCCAATTGTTACGAGACTCGTAGTAACATCAAATCGTTTAGAACTTGAAATTTTTACTTATTGTTCTCTGGCTGAGTCCGGTTTCAATTGTTACGAAACTCGTAGTATAATTGGTTACTGTTGTGAGGCTGGATCCCGAGTAGCTAGTGAACAACTCACTCCTCTATTGTAAACCACGTATTAACACGCAGTAAGGAGCCAACTGTAATTCCTTCTCTAAAGAACAGTTTGTTGTAGTATCTCCGATTGACCGTACGGTACTCGTACCTGGTACGACAAAATCCTATCCTTTGGTAGGATCCATTGTTAGTATCGGATTATAATGTGAGCCTAACACACATAAAACACTTAAATCACGAGTGAGTAGAGAGTAACTCACCCCCTCCACTCACTCTTTATTGTAAACACGTATTAATGACGCACTAAAGAGCATACTTTCATTTCGCACAGAGAACACTGCCTTCAAAGTTCAAAGCATTATTATTGGTTAATTTCCTTCTCTAAAGAACAGTTTGTTGCGAGTTCGTATGATTTTGCGACTTCATACATTAGTTGCGAATTCGTTCAGGTTAAGTGTCAAGGTTAAGTGGAATTATAATAAAGAGTGAGGTTATTCACTAGTCCTCATAAAGCGAGATTACAGTTGCGAGAATATCGTCGTTTAGCACCATTCCGTTCATAGATTCCTCTTCATGGAGAAGAAAATTATCCTGATGCTTCATTTTGGAACTACAACTGCTGCCGCTGCGCTGCTTTTCTCTCTTCCAAGCTGCTGGGCAGCTCCCGATGTTGATGGTGTTGTTCCAAATGATGTTGTTGACATAGATTGTGCAACCATCCAGGAGCTTGGAACTCCAAGTTTAGAGCGTTTTGATTTCTCACTTATGATGGTAAGTCACTATTGCTTTGTCTTTAGTTGAATAAAGAAGATCAGAGCATACGAGGTAATTTAGATTGTCGTGATCGGTATCTGATGTACTTACAAAAACCGATTGTCGTTTGTATTTTTACACTCTTCAAGAAAACCGAAGGAGACAAATATAATCTCTCCTTTGTGTTAAAGCACGATCCATCCCTCCCGCTTCCCACGGATCCCGTGAATCAGTGCAACCCTGCCATCGTGCCACCGGAGATTGCCTCTGATGGACTTCCTTACTTTGTCTTCCGATGGTTTTACCAAAAAGTGCCCGAAGAAGTAAAAGCAGTGACTGGAATCGACCACGTTTCCCTTGATTTCAATCCTTGTGGACACCCTCCGATCGAAATATTTGGAACACCGCATTATGATTTTCACATTTACCTGATCACGCCCGAAGAAAGAACCTGTATGACGTGCGCAAAGCTCCCCGGAACTCCCGCTTGTGACTTTAACCCTGGCATGCAGACGACCGCGAGTGGAAAAGGTGAGCAAAAAGCAACTGTCGCATCAGCATTTTCGTGAAAAGAGTGATGCACGTGATTATGTTTGGGCCAACAAAATGATCCAAGAAGTCTCATACATTGTTCTACTCGTCAGCCTTCTTCGATATAGCAACGGTCAGGAGTAACGACCCGGTGTACGAAGGCGACCCGTTCGGCCAGCCACGAAATATGCCTCCCGGATTTCAGACAACAATGACGTCCATGATACCACTCATGGGTGGACACGCATGGAACGTTGCTAAGCAACCCGAAAGTGCGATGAACTGGGTGGAACCAACCTGGCTCATGGGCCCTTACGCCGGCGGCATTGTGCATTTCGAGCCAATGATCCCATTGGCATTCATGACCGGAGATGCGGACAAAGAATTCACTGAAACCCTGACTTACATGGGCCAGACAATTTCTACACTCCCTCAGTCTTTCACTGCCAAGTTCGATGCAGCCACCACCTTAACTACGATTCATTTGACCGGATCTGCGAAGGGCAAGAAAGGCAAGAAGAGCAAGATGAAGAAGGGAAAGAACACCAAGAGTATTACAGCAAAATCGAGCAAACGTTGACAATCATGCAGCGTCAACCTTCTGCGACTACGTGCAAGTAGATCTTTTTAGTTGATTGAGTAGAAAACGACGGCGTTCGAACAGTAGAAGGGTTTTTCATGTACACAGTATTTTTCAAGTGAACACCATCTAACTATATGAACCGAAGATGGACGAGCAAATGGTTTAAATACATTGACCTAAATGAAGTAAACATATTGAACAGAGTGATTTATTGTGAATGCGGTAGTGAATGATCAAAAACTTTCTACTACGTAGTTATCTAGTGAACAACTTACATGGGTACCCATTCCATCTTTTAGTCGACATTCACTAGCCGTAGAAAGCCACCGGCCGGCGTCTGCGTGTTTCCTTTGTTTAGTGAGGAGCAC